GAAACGTCACCAAAATAATGAAAACATATGGCAAACAAAGGAAAAGTGCAGGAAAAGAGTGGGATATTTGATCAGTGACACTGAGAACTACAGCACCAAAAACAGGCTCAAGAAAAAACAAACACTAAACTCACTGTAGGGCTGTTTCTAATAATTTGTCCAACCCCGGTGCTTTCATACGTGCTTTAAAGTCAGTGAGTTGTATAATTAAAATATCTTGTTTCAGAGCGCAGTGACCTTAGATGATGTTTTTAGTTTCCTGATGGATTTTCGTTCAGACGAGTCACTGTGTAGAGGGACACAGATCTGGAATCAGGTACGCTGTATTAAAGACATAACGTGATAAAATGACTGATGAGGGAAGTTGTATGTTTGCATAAATGCTACCCTACAAATATTTGACATTGCTGCAGACGTGTGCCTGGCTATTGGAAAATGAAGGCAGTTTGAAGCCCAGGATTCTGGATGGAGATTGTACTGATGCCACCACAAAGAAAGAAACTGTAAGAAGCTATGTTCAAAGCGAGATACACGCTTATCTCCGAGTCCCAGCTAGCACAGGTAAGTCTGAAGTGAGACAGCGATAGATTAATCCGTAGATTACACTTGTTGGAGTTGGTGTAAGGTAAACTCCCTGCTCCTCAGGTCACACTGAGAGGTTACCTGACCTGAGGGAGGCTGATAAGTTGGCCAGAGCCATTCTGCTGTGTGTGGACATGGAGAGGAATCAACTCGGGGCAGAGATCAGTAACACTCTGGAGTCATTACTGTCTCCGCTGCTGGACACCCTGAGTCGAGTCAGCACCAATATCTACTTGCCTCTGCGTAAGAGTGACAAGAGCCTGCAGCTCGTGCTCCGACTGTTCCAGCTTGGAGGAACACCAAGCTGTCAGCATGCTGGAAAGGAGCAAGGTTAGTAAGGATAACACTGATTCATTGCTATAGCTGTTAAGTGCATCTGCAGTAGGTGCAGTAGTTAGATATGTACATTCCTTGTAAATATCACCCTCATAAAAATGTGGTTAATGGTAATGCTATCTTACAAGGTGCAAGTTATATATTTTCCTCCCATTGAAAGGTATCTATGTGTTTTCTGACTTTTTACAAAACAACATTTTAGACATCAAAAGATTCTTACTCTTTTCTTGATGTCACTTTTTCTTGCATCTCAGATTGAGAACTGCTTATGGAGTGCACTCCAATATTAATCATTTCTTTTTGTTCTAACACTCGCTAGCTTTAAGTAATTCTGATCATCAAATTATTCCTTTATAATTTTGTATTTAGACCAGATCTCAGCCTTTAGAAAAACTAAATTTTCCCTTATGTCTTCTTGTAGTACTGTGCTAATAGGACTCCCTGACATACTGTGTATTAAGCAGCTCAGGAGTGTGTGACACTCAGCTCCTCTCACTCTGCTTTTCACAGTGGATAGCGTGATGGTGGCCATGAAGGAGCTCTTTTATAAACTCGTCGATCCAATCCAGGAGTTTATCTTGAGGCGGCTGTTTGGGGAGCTGCAGGAGGTCAGTCAACAGCCAGTCACCATCACTGAAGTTAGCATAGATACCCCTAGTAGCTATTTCTGATGTGTGAATGTGCTGTTTTCTTAACAGCTGTTCGATGTGGAGCGGGCAGAGCTGTATCTGTGTGTCCTGAGG